TGTACCGAATCGTATAGAGTTTTACCACATGAAGAAAGATTCTGATACTCATGAAATGTTATTTTTATAACAAATAAACGACGTTATGAATAAATTAATAAATGAAATTTCATGGGTATCGGACTTCTTTAGGGCCTCCATATTCATGTGGTAATATTTTATACGACTCGGTGCAATAGAATGCAACATGGTACAATCTTTACCGAGATACCTCACACAATCACTTTTATATTGCCTTAAATGATTTAAATAAAAAATTGCAATAGACTTGTCAATTAAGGAAGTCTAGCCACGTCAATAAAATCCATTTACAAATCACAGAATATCGAAGTCACAATCTGTTTAAATTAGAGAAAAAGAATGAAACATATCCATAAGAAATCGTAAAAAAAGGGATAATCAAATAAAAAATGTAATCCAATAGAAACGTAATTAAACGTAATTAAATGTATCGTACTCGTTAAGGAATTCGATTTTGTGTAAAGAGTTTCGATTGCATCTGCAAACATGTATGCGTTATCAAAAAGCAAAATCAGGATGAGAGATTATTTGACACCGAAATTCGATATCAAGCGAACTCGTGATCAGGATTTCGTTTTTATCAGTACAGTCAATTCTATGTACGCACTTGATCTTTCTAGGGGATTCGTGGGGAGCAATTAAGGCAAGAGAAGCAAGAGTTACTCTCTTTTCTGCCTTATCAGTGCATTGATATTAAAGTGTCGACNAAGCAAGAGTTACTCTTTTTTTCGCCTTATCAGTGCATTGTTATTAAAGTGTCGACATATAACGTATCCATTTCAAGATACATTCCATATTGAGCACACATTTGATCTTTCTAGAGGGTTCATGGGGAGCAAGAAAGGCAAGAAAAGCAAGAGTTACTCTCTTTTTCGCCTTATCAGTGCATTGATATTAAAGTGTCGACATATAGCGTGTCCATTTCAAGAGACATTTCATGTTAAGCACACACTTGATCTTTCTAGGGGATTCGTGGGGAGCAAGAAAGGCAAGAGAAGCAAGAAAAGCCATTCTCGGAAAGAGTCATTGATGAGAACGATGACTGTCCCGCTACTCGGCGAAACTCTAGTACACGTCGCGTAAACCATGCCATTTAATCGATACGCTCCACTGGAATTGATCAAAGCGTTATCCGGCAATAAATCGACACGTGACAGTCAGTCATGTGACAGTGAGTCTTCCACTTTTCTTTTTTTTAACGGCGTACATACTTGCACTTACGCGATCGCTCGTCATTATTTCATGAAACCTCCAATCATTATTATTCACGAGTAACAAAAGCACTATAAATACCTAATTGAATTATTTACACGATATATTCCTAATTGCCCCATGAAGTGGAATATACGTAAATTAATCCCTTATCGACCTTAAATAAACAATTTTCACGTATGAACTATCAGCTGATACCGTAGGTACTTTATCGAGCTACTGACACATTACACGGAGAATGTCAAGAGACATCGATAATAGATACTTAAAGTTCGCGTCCAATGAACCGATCTCGGTCAGAGCCGAGGTGAAATAAAAAGCGAAAAAGAAAAAAAGAAGAAAAGAACACTTCACTCTCACGTTCGATAATTATACATCAACGTAAAATTCACTTCCCGGCGCAACTATTCAGGTCATCATCGACCTATCAACTAAACATAAACATACATATATTCTGCATAAATATTAACATTAAGTATAAGATAATACTTTCAACTGTATAAGATTACATTTAGGATTATCAATTATATTCACTTGTGGATAGTAGTAGATACCGTCGTACACTGTCAATATTCATAAAATTCATCATATTTTGTAATACATAAGATTTGCAGAAAACAAAAAATGTCATGTCTTACCAGTAAATTCCTACACATTTATTTTACATTCTTAAATGAATTTATGATAACGTCATGTTGTAATTATGTGAAATTGGGTAGGAAAATTAATACTCTTACGCGCTAAATTAATAACATATTTACAAAGCAGCGGAAAAAATGTTATACAATTTAAATACCGTGTCCGAATGAAACGTGCAAAAGCATTTTATAAAATTACGATATCATTTTCAACATAGTACTGACGCTTTCTTGTAAAACTTCTTATCAGAATATAACTATATTTTCGCACTTGTTTAAATAAGCTACAAGAATTATCTAGTAGTTATATTAGATATTAATCTAATCTATTGAAGTGAAGTGTGCAGCGCTAGAAATAGGATGATTAATTATTTGCCTTCCACGGATGAGCGCGATCATATTAAGTGAATTATTAGCTAATCATAAGCCACGTACAGGTGTACTTGTCTTGTCAATTTACTCGGAAAATGTCAAGATGTACCGACAGTCCGTTCTAGGTACTCTTGATTGATCACAATGGGAAATAAAAACCGCTATTGAACTTCCGGTATTCGTTATCATGTAGCATTGTTAAATTCTCGAAAGAAACTATAAAACCACTAATTAACTTCAGGTATGTATTAACTGATAACGTTATGACATTGATGAAAGAATTTTAGTTAATCAGGTCCTATGTGATAAGACCCCTCCGAGTATTTAAATGGTAATAACATTGTTAATGCAACAGATATAAATTGTTTTAATATGAATAATTTGTACAGTGTGTATAATTGTTTAATATACATATAACGGTACATATCATACTTCAGGTATGCATTAACTGATAACGTTATGACATTGGTTAAAGAATTTTAGTTAATCAGGTCCTATATGATAAGACTCGTCCGAGTATTTAAATAATAATAACATTGTTAATGCAACAGATATAAATTGTTTTCATGTAAATAATTTGTACAGTGTGTATAATTGTTTAATATACATATAACGGTATATGCATACATTATAGACAATAAAGTCTCGAACAGTATACAATAATAATATATTGCTAATTCTGTGAGAAAGATTATTCGTATTAATTGAACTAATCTAATAATTGATTATGTGGTCCCATCTAGGAACTTCTCATAGCCTGGCCTTTGTTAATCATATATTTAATTAACAAGATAATCAAGTACGGCGTCAAACTTAAAGAACAATTAAGAATCGAATTTTGTCCGAAGAATAACAAAATTTTGGTTTCTAAAAAATTAAGTTCACTTAATTGTTAATACAACAACTGCTCATGTGATACTCATCGAGATATTTTGATACAAGTTAACATTTAACAATATATTTTAATGAATTAAACAATGATTTAATAATAATTAATATTTACTACAGCAATCGAGAGAATCGGAAAATCGAGTAATATTTAAAGTACCTTAACTAAGGTATTACATTGTTGAATTTTTTTTTAATGCAATCTTGTTAATTGAATTAAACAAAATTATACATTCCCGTACAATCTCATAATCTCGTGATCCGCGTTCCATGGAAAACGGAAAATCAATAAATAATATTATACTAATTGTATAAGATACAATGCAAGGCATTCCTGTAATAAAATTGTAATTAAGGAGTGTAAAAATAATTATGCAAGTTTAATTGCCAAATGGGAATGACGCGAAGTAGAAGGAAGATTTCTTTATCGCAGTTTTCCTTGTACAATTTCCTGAATTGTATTTCGTTTCTTTTCCCTGTAAACACGTCACGGGATAGAAAGGTGTACATAAACTTACTAATTATACATACTTTTACAGAAAATGTTAATTGAATCAAAAGCTTCAACTAGGTACTTATAATTTTACAAATCCTTAATGTTTAGGCCAACGAAAAATGTAAAATAATTTTAAGCAATAAGATGTAAAAGTGAATTTGTGAGATTCCCTGAATAATGTTGCACATTTTCTGTAAACGTGTTACAGAATGGAAAAGCGTACATACATTGTGCAATTAAACGGGATTTTTAATATCCGATTCGATCTAAATGAAAGCTTCAATTAGAAATACGTCCCCTAATAAATTTGATAAATATGAAACAATAAAAAAAAATGTAATTGAGTGTAAAATTTAAAATGTACATTATTATTATATATTTGATTACGCGTATTTACCCCGAATCTAAATAACTTAGAATACTCCCAACATAATAAAATGTCTAATAACACAAATTGACCTGTTTTCTAGATTTCCTACTTCATCGTTTAATATTTAAAAAAAATGATAAATTAACTTGATCTTATCTTTACGAGGTTTTTAAAACACGATTCAAAGAAGTAAAAGTTTTAACTGGAATCACGTAGAATATTATATTTTACAAATTTGGAAATGTAAAGAATGAAATTAAGCATTGAAGTGTAATATGAAAATTAATATACATCTAGGTACAGGTTTCTACCACAAATCTAAATAACTTAGAATACTTCCAACATAATCAAATATTTAATGTCTCAATTGAATCGTTTTTTAATTGTTCTATCTCACCGTTTAACATTAAAAAAAAATGTAAAAGCAACGATCTTGTTTGACGAGGTCGTCAAAACACGATTCAATTGAAGTAAAAGTTTCAACTGAAAACCCGTAGCATATTAAATTTTACAAATTTAAGAAGTAAAGAATGTAATTAAACATTGAAGTGTAAAATAAAAATTAATATACATCTAGTTATACGTTTGTACCACGAATCAAAACAGCTTATAATATTCCCAATATAATAAAATATTTAATGCCTCCATTGAACCGTTTTTTAATTGTCCTATCTCACCGTTTAACATTTAAAAAATGATAAACCAACTTGCTCTTATCATGTCGAGGTTTTTAAAACACGATTCAATCGAAGTAAAAGTTTTAACTGGAAACACTTATCATATTAAATTTTACAAATTTGGAAAATTACAGAATGTAATTAAACATTGAAGTGTAAAATAAAAATTAATATATATCTAGTTACACGTTTGTACCACGAATCTAAACAGCTTAGAATACGCCCAACATAATAAAACATTTAATGCCTCAATTGAACCGTATTTTAATTGTCCTACCTCACCGTCTAACGCTTCAAAAAAATGAAGACCTAAAATGTAGTCTCACCTTGCAGTTGAACTTCCCGCGCAGAAAAAAAAAAGTGCGGGTGCCCAGAAGCACTTCCCCAAAAGCTCAAAATCCTCGTTTGGTCTTCCCAAAGTCGGTCTTCCTCTCACCTCTTGCACACTCGCGACATGTCGCGTCCACGATCGTCCGAGGTGACAACCGGGCAAAGAAAAATTCAAAACCCGAAGAAAACGCCCTCCGAAGGTCTCGAAAAAAATCCACGAGGTCTGGCCACCTTCCCAGTCCGGTAAAAAAAATAACCTCGAGGTTTCCCGGCAGATCGAATGTTCTAGAAAAATTGCGAACGGCCGAAGAGGCGCCCGAGAGAGGTTAGAAAATGGCGGCCGCGGTCCGAGGGATTCGCCGAAGAGCGGGCGCCGTCTTTCTCGGGTAGATCGCGAGCTCCCGTTTTTGAATACCCGCCGGTCGGATAGTCGGAACTGAATTGGCGCGGGTGAGCGCAGCGCCATATAAACGGCTTGGCGCGGCCGTGCTTCCCCGGTATCCGGCGACAACCCCACCGAGTGACGTCACCGGGGAACGGACCAATCGGCGAGCCGGGCTCGAGTGTTTACGCGCGCGGCCAGTCCCCGCGGGACTGCGATCGCGATCGGCCACGGTTGTTGATCTCTATCGATCCGTGGGATGGTTGCTCTTCACTTCTAATTTCTATTTATTATTATGTAGTTATATGGGCCCATGGTTAGGAAAATGGTCTAAATCGTTTTCTTCTCTCCTCCGGCATTCTCTTGGGTTGGCAACTAAATAATTGCAGATTCTGTCGATAGATGGTATTGAAAAATCAGCAATTACATAGTTGCCAACCCAATGTTTTATGTAAGAAGATATGCCATAGTTTTTGATCTTTATAAATTCGTAGGATAATTAGTCTTCGTTTTTAATTTCTATTTGTTATAACATGCGCCCATGGTTAGGAAAGTGATGTAAATCGTTTTCTTCTCTTCTACTGCATTCTATTTTATATAAGAAAATATACCATAGTTGTTGATCTCTATCGATCCGTAGAATGGTTGGTCTTCGTTTTTAATTTCTATTTGTTATTACATGCGCCCATAGTTATAATAATATAAACTGGTCTAAATCGTTTTCTTCTCCTCTCCGGCATTCTATTTTATATAAAAAGATATCGCATAGTTGTTGATCTCTATCGATCCGTAGGATGATTGATCTTCATTTATAATTTCTATTTATTATTATATAATTATAAGCGCCCGTATTTATGAAAGTGGAGTAAATCATTTTCTTCTGTTTTACTGCATTCTTTCTTATATACGAAGATAAGCCATGGTTGATCCCTATCAATTCGTAGAATATTTATTATTACATGCGCCCGTAGTGATAAAAATGGTCTAAATCATTTTCTTGTAATGTATTCTATTTTATATAAGGCGTATATTTAAATATATTAGGTTGTCCCATAAGTTCCTTCCGCCTCGTGTATTCATGTCCTATGAAAAAAAGGGAAGAAACTTATGGGACAACCTAATACGTCAGTTTGGAGGTTTTAATGAATAAAGTTCAACACAGTCTATCTTCCTGATTTACAGATTTCCTTAATTTAAAAAAAAATAAAGAACTAAAGAACTCTATTATGCTCTACATCTATTAAGGTTGATTTTCCGGCGTTTAAGACCGATATCGATAGCATGGATTTTTTTGATAAACAATTATATTGATAAGGGTAGGTTTTGGTCAGATAGGGTGGAGGTTAGGACAGGATTTTGTTTTCTATATTATACTTGACTTCTTTTAGGGCCTACCACAAATATGTCATATAGCTATAATTATAGTACCTTTTTAAATAATAAAACTGCAATTCTCGTAATATACTAACAAGTACATTCTATTACTCTTTCGTATTAATATTACAACAATACAAGATAACGAGATAACCATTAGTTAGTCAATATTTTAGACAAAATGACGGCTCTAAAAATGTATGTTCCTAAACAATAATCTCAATTTCGCATCTCTGTGCACATCTCAAAAACAATCGGACATGCGAAACGAGGAAAGAAAATTGTGGGTTACATATTTCAATAAATTGTTTATAAAAAGAGAGAAATATCTGATATGTCTAATTATAGCTAATAGGTAAAAAATTGAATTTTTACTTTTTTAGAGAACCATCGGGAAACGAGTTGGATCGACTTTTGTAGTAATTCTACCAGATGACGTCACTGGAGAACGGACCAATCGAAGGAAGGAATTGATTAGCTATGGTCACTGATCTCTAATGATTGGTCCTACTGCAATAATTATTAATAGAATGACAATTTTATCACGATTCTTCCAGCTGTACTCAAGTAATCGCACCTTCATTAGCAATTCAAATTTGATCGAAACGATAAATATATAATGATCTAACTCCATAGCGGGAATTTCATCAGCAATTAGAATTTTATCGAAATGACCCTAGTAGCATAGAATGATTTCTAAATATTTCTTTGTCATTTTTGCTAAATACCTCAAGCGACAGATTTTTTATGATTTCTTGTAGATTTCATTCGAAGATATCTGAAATATTTCTTTAAAATCTCAATGACATATTTAGTTTCAATAATTTATAAACATATAGAGAAATTATATTTTTTACATAGAACCGTTTTTTAATTGTCCTATCTCACCGTTTAACATTTAAAAAATGATAAACCAACTTGCTCTTATCATGTCGAGGTTTTTAAAACACGATTCAATCGAAGTAAAAGTTTTAACTGGAAACACTTATCATATTAAATTTTACAAATTTGGAAAATTACAGAATGTAATTAAACATTGAAGTGTAAAATAAAAATTAATATATATCTAGTTACACGTTTGTACCACGAATCTAAACAGCTTAGAATACGCCCAACATAATAAAACATTTAATGCCTCAATTGAACCGTATTTTAATTGTCCTACCTCACCGTCTAACGCTTCAAAAAAATGAAGACCTAAAATGTAGTCTCACCTTGCAGTTGAACTTCCCGCGCAGAAAAAAAAAAGTGCGGGTGCCCAGAAGCACTTCCCCAAAAGCTCAAAATCCTCGTTTGGTCTTCCCAAAGTCGGTCTTCCTCTCACCTCTTGCACACTCGCGACATGTCGCGTCCACGATCGTCCGAGGTGACAACCGGGCAAAGAAAAATTCAAAACCCGAAGAAAACGCCCTCCGAAGGTCTCGAAAAAAATCCACGAGGTCTGGCCACCTTCCCAGTCCGGTAAAAAAAATAACCTCGAGGTTTCCCGGCAGATCGAATGTTCTAGAAAAATTGCGAACGGCCGAAGAGGCGCCCGAGAGAGGTTAGAAAATGGCGGCCGCGGTCCGAGGGATTCGCCGAAGAGCGGGCGCCGTCTTTCTCGGGTAGATCGCGAGCTCCCGTTTTTGAATACCCGCCGGTCGGATAGTCGGAACTGAATTGGCGCGGGTGAGCGCAGCGCCATATAAACGGCTTGGCGCGGCCGTGCTTCCCCGGTATCCGGCGACAACCCCACCGAGTGACGTCACCGGGGAACGGACCAATCGGCGAGCCGGGCTCGAGTGTTTACGCGCGCGGCCAGTCCCCGCGGGACTGCGATCGCGATCGGCCACGGTTGTTGATCTCTATCGATCCGTGGGATGGTTGCTCTTCACTTCTAATTTCTATTTATTATTATGTAGTTATATGGGCCCATGGTTAGGAAAATGGTCTAAATCGTTTTCTTCTCTCCTCCGGCATTCTCTTGGGTTGGCAACTAAATAATTGCAGATTCTGTCGATAGATGGTATTGAAAAATCAGCAATTACATAGTTGCCAACCCAATGTTTTATGTAAGAAGATATGCCATAGTTTTTGATCTTTATAAATTCGTAGGATAATTAGTCTTCGTTTTTAATTTCTATTTGTTATAACATGCGCCCATGGTTAGGAAAGTGATGTAAATCGTTTTCTTCTCTTCTACTGCATTCTATTTTAT